CTCTCTCTCTCTCTCACTCTTTCTCTCTCTTTTTCTCTCTCTCTTACTCTCGATCACAATTTTTAACGCAAATTTCTTTCACAAAATATCCTCCCAGTTATACATACATGTATTTACGTAAGTATGTATGTATGTATGTATATATAGATATATCATTTCGAACGAGCGCACGCATTAATAATTTTATTTATTTTATTTTTTTTTTTTTTTTTTATTATATATATATATATATATATATATATATATATTTATATATCTAATCATGTCAAAACGCAATCTTAAAATCCTCCCTTTGGAATCTTTTAACTCGATTAATAGGAATATTCTCGATTTATATAGGAAACTATGTGGTAGTTAATTAGCGTTTATCATCAAAGTTATGTTTTGTGGCATCGAAATGGTAAGAAGACATAGTCTTTCTTTTTTTTCCATTCTTTTTTCTCTTTCTTTTCGGTTTTCTTTTTCTTTTTTACTTTTTTGTTATTTGCTTTTTCTTTTCCTTTCTTTTTTTTTTTTGGACGATCGAAATAATTAATCCGATCCGTTTAAAAATCTATGCTATATTCCAAAAGTTAGTCACAATGTTTGCGACTATAATTAATCTCATTCTCCTGATTTCTTCTTACTCGCACTTTGACAAATAATTCATTCACTTATTTCATTTATTTCATTCTTATTTAATCGCTAAACATATTAATCTGTTATTTTCTTTTTCTTGCTTTTTCTCAATCGAATATTATACGCATTCTGATGAAAAAAGTGATAATAATAATAATAATAATAATAATAATAATAATAATAATATAATAATAATAATAATAATAATAATAATAATAATAATAATAATAACAACAACAATTCTTACAACAATAATATTATAGTACTAATAATAACAAATAATAATCATAATCGTAACAATAATTATTATTATTCCGTGAATAGAAATTATACTCTCTACGTGTAAATCGTCCTCATATTTTTTTCTATTAATTCTTTCCGTGGTCATTAAAAACTAAGCGAACGCCTCAATATTCTTTTGTTGTACGCGACAAGACGGAATATTTTCATCGATCATTGATGATTAGAAAAATATTAGAAAATAAAGCGGCAGTAGCAACAGCAGTAGCATCATCATTCTTTCATCATCATATCATCTTTATCGATCATCACCATTATCATCATTATCAGCAGCAGCAACAATAATAGTAGCAACAGCAGCAGCGACAGTAGTAGTGTAGTAGTAGAGTAGTAGTAATAGTAGCAGCAAGTAGTAGTAGAGTAGTAGTAACAATAGCAGCAAGTAGAGTAGTAATAATAGTAGCAGCAAGTAGAGTAGTAGTAGTAATAATAGCAGCAAGTAGTAGTAGAATAGTTTAGTTGTCGCTCGAACGCGAAATATTGTGTTCTCTCTTTTATCTTTTGTGCTCTCGTGCTCATTTAACGCGAAAGAAAGAAAGAGATGGACGATATTGACAAGTTAAAAATTACAAGGATGGAAAAACACAATCACACTACCGCCATCGTACGTACACGCTTTGATCGACGAACACAACGGCCTTTTTTATATCTTTGTTTTTTAGCTCTACAAAACTTACTCTAAAGATAGAGACAGAACAGAGAGAAAAAGAGAGAGAGAGAGAGAGAGAAACGTATTGTTTGGCCGCACTTTGTGAGTCGCGGCTTCATGTAACAATGAACGCTTTCTACTTTGTTTTTTCTTCTTCTTTTTCTTTTTCTTCTGTTTTTTTTTATCTTCTGGCGAAAAATTCATAATCATGCCAACGTTTGAAACGCCATCAGTTTCTTCTTTCTATTTCTTTCTTTCTCCCTCCTTCCCTTTCTCTCTCTCTCTTTCTCTTTCTTTTTCTCTCTTAGTTTCTTTTTCGTCGTGTATTATTCTTCTTTCTTGTTTCATCCTTCTGACGATTTTTCTCTTGCTAAAACTCTCTCAATTAATGTACAAAAGAGAGAAACAAAGAGAGTGGCAATATCCACTCAGAAAGTAAATGTTGTGTATGTTGTGTGTGTAAGAAAGAGAGAGAGAGATCGAGAGAGAGAGAGAGAGAGAGAAGAACATACTCAGTTTTGTTGCTTCTTGAGTCTGTCATGTAATAACAAACGTTTTCTATTTATTCATTCTTCTTTTTCATCTTCTTTTTCCTTTTCTTTTCTTTTCTCCTCTTTTTTCCTTTAATATTCCGACGAAAAATCCAAAATTCGTGTCAACGACATTGTAACGTGTTACTAAATTTCTTCTTTCTCTTTTTCTTCTCTCTTCTTTCTTCTCCCTACCTCTTTCTATCTGTCTGTCTGTCTTTCTCTCTCTCTCTCTCTCTCTCTCTCTCTCTCTATCTCTTTTTGTCTCTCTCTCTTTCATTATTTATTCATGGTTCGTATTTTCTTTTTTCTTCCTTTCTAGTCTTCTTTTTCCTTTAATTTTTCTCTTTGCCAAAACTTTGAATAAATGTACGAAAGAGAGAAAGAAAGAGAGAGAGAGAGAGAGAGAGAGAGAGAGAGATCTTTCTCGGCAAATTGAAGGTATTGTCATCACCTCGTTTTACGAATACATCCAACGGACGATATTTACACCGGAACGACAAAATTCCAAATCCATTTTTTCTTGTAGTTTCTTTCTTCTTCCCTTCTTTCTCTGATCGTGTCATCCTTTCTTTCTCTTCATCATTTTCCTCTCTGAAATTCTTTTTCTTCTATTTATTCTCATATCCGGTGTAATCTCGTCGAAACGCAAGGATATTATTATTATTATTATTGTTATTATTATTAATATTATTATTATTATTATTATTATTATTATTATTATTATTATTATTATTATTATTATTATTATTATTATTATTATTATTATTACTATTATTATTATTTGTTAATGTGTACAAGTCGATGCGTCGTACGTGCGTGCGTATGGGTGTACATGTCATGTGTGTGTGTGTGTGTGTGTATGTCTCTCACTCATCCGTATGTGTTCATTGTATCTCGCAGAAGGACAACTTGTTGTTCACCTCCTTTGTTTGTTCCTGGTCTTGGCTGTTACCACCCTCGCTCTTCGGGCTTCCTCCCTCGTCTAAAGAGCCCCCACCACTGCCGGGGGGGCAAATCGATTGTCATCTAAGTGCCAGAGTCGACACCATCGGTGGCCGGGACGGTTTGTTATCGAGTATCCTTTCTATCTCACTCATTACGGTCGCGTTTAGCTTTGGGATTAACTGAAATTGAAGATAACTTTATTAATAAATTTAATTTTATATATATATTTATTAATTATTTATAAATATATATATGTATATCAATCCATGGCCCATTTTATTATATTCATTATAAACGTTTATGAAACATGAGTTTCGTATATTAAGTAAAACAAAAGAAATAATTAGTTAACGAAGATAGTTTGATAATGTAATATGCGCCATGAATATAAAGCATGTTATAATAATAATAATAATAATAATAATAATAATAATAATAATAATAATAATAATAATAATAATAATAATAATAATAATAATAATAATATTAATATTAATAATTATTATTATTATTAATTAAAAAATGTTTCTTTAGTTTTTAATCGCACATCCAAAAAAATTTTCTCGAGGCTAAATATTACATATTATTCAATATAATAAAACTTTAAATACTATTCACGAAACTTTGCCAACATATACTACAAATAAAAATAAGAAAAGAGAGAGAGAGAATGTTATATAAAACATAGGATGTTTAACAAATGTTTTGTTAAAATGTTATAACAAATGTACAAAATGGCCGATCTGATATTTCTTCTCCTTTAAGGAAAATATTCCTTTATGAAATATTTTTCTATATTTTCTCTCAAAGAGGAAGATATACTTTTATGACAGACAAAAGAGTATTTCCATTAAAAAATGTCGTTAATGAGAAATGCGTGTTATAGTATTCATAATTCGAATATAATCGCTTCATCTTAATATATGTACAGCGTAAATACCAAATATTATTGATTTCAACAAAAACCAACGAACAAATCAATGATCTTGGAATAAGTCGAGTAAATGTTAAAATTTATGTAAACGTATCAAATAAATATAGACAATGTATTCTTATGATGTATCGACGAAACGTCAATTCGTGTCATTTCATATTTTTTTTATAATTTCTTAATAAAACACATTAAGTGTTATGTATTTATTTTATAATTTCAATTTGTTTATTTTTTTAATTCGTTTGTCTTATAATTTTTTTTTTGTTAACTTTGTGTATAAAATATGCTAATTTTGTGAGAAAAAAAAAACTGAGAAACTCTTCAAAGGGTGATGTCAAATGTTCCAACATAAACTGTTATTTTATATTTTGAAATCGATTACTTAAAATGAATAAAGGTCTAGATAGAATAGAATAAGATAAAAGTCAACTCCACAAAATGTTTATACGTATATAACTTCTATACTAAAAAAATAAAGCCAATACAAAAATTTAGTTTCACGATATTTTCTAGTTAGAAAATCTAGTTTCGTAATACAGAAATCCCCGGAAACAAAATACGTCGAATATTTAGTTTTCGTTTGGACAGTAAACTAAACTAGAATATATATATATATATATATATATATATATATATATATATATATATATATATATATTCAAGAGAAAATTAAAGAAATAAAAACTTATAGAAAAACTGTGAACTTGCTCTGATAAATAGTAACTCCAAACTGAATATAAACAGTAAAATCTGCAAAAGTATTATCAAATTCATATAGACTTATGGAATACAAATTGTAAAATCTCATAAAAAAAAATTAGAAAATCTACAATCGTTTATTTTAAGAATTACTATACCAAAATCTTAAATGCATTCTGATATGTAAAAAACAATGACATAAGGAAAAATTAAATAACCCATAATGGAAGAGGAAATCAAAAGATTTTCCATAGCACATTAATAGACGATTAAAGACCATAACAACCAACTTGCTAAGAACTATTACTATTCAAATTTACCCAGAAGGTTTTAAAAGAAAACCTACTTATACCTAAGATAGTTACTATGTTCTTATATCTAATAGTTATATACTATAGATACTTGTATCTATATTATATAGTTACATATATAGTTATATACTTATATGTAATAATTGTTATTTATATCTAATAATTGTTAAATATCGATATAACAAAAACTTATTCTTACGATTATCAATCAATGTTTCGAAATACGCATGCTACCATTATGATATTATCATAAAACAAATTTTAGTATACAATTAGGAACATTTGAAGGAATTTATATGAAAAAAAAAAAAAGAAAAACAAAAATTTTCTACTCGAATGACTGATTGATATCATTTTTCAAATGGCTTTACTTGTTATTTACACGATAAAAAGCAACGAAATGTTATTAAAAAATACAGAATTGATTGAAATATAATAGCATCATGCTTCCTTGCGAGTCGGAAACGATCCATCACATCGCGTGACCCATTAATTGCCCATGATAATAAACTGATAATATTCTAAAACATTTCATGACCTTATTTCATTCTCATGTAAAATAATTAAAAAGACCTAAACGGAAAGTTCAATGAGGGCCACCACCGGTGACCTAAAACGTACTATATTATATAGTTAACTTATAGAGCTATAATTTATGTAGCTTTTATACGTGTGCATACGTAACTTTTATATGTGTGTGTATAAATAAAATAAAAAGTTGTTCTTGAAAAAATTATTGGATTTGATAATAATCCTGATGGTTAATTTTCGTTGTGACACTCTGTATATATGTGTACGAGGTGTATTCATATTATTGATAGAAGCAGGCGTAGGTAGGGAGGAAGGGAGCCAGGGAGGGGATGATTCTACGTATAAAAATATGTCGAGAAAAAAAGGTAAGATTTTTTCGCTTGAGTTTCGATTTTTTTTTCACTATTCTTCAAAATATACTTTCGTTTTCGTTATACTCTATAAGGTTTACATTTTGTTTTCAATGGTACAATTATTATTTCTTTTATATTTAGTCTGTTTTCATCAGTTAAACTGTGAACGTTAATAAGGACATCGCTTCGAACAAATTCTTCAATAACGTAATTAATGTTAATGATATTAATAATGTTAATAACGTTAATAACGTTGATAATTATCCGTCCATTGATATTTCTTATTCATTATTATATTACAATGTTTAAATTCAGATATAATTCGTTGTACATATTTTATTTACACATACTTTAGAGAATTTTCAAATATGATTATCTCGAAAATGAAAAAAATGTCATTTCATTTCTTTTTCGACTTATTTTTACATATTAAATTAATACTATCTATCCGTTATACTATCGGTTATTATCTATTGGTTATACTATCTATCCGGATATATCCTCTCTCTCTCTCTCTCTCTCTCTCTCTCTCTCTCTCTCTCTCTCTCTCTCTATCTATTGGTTATACTATCTATCCGGATATATCCTCTCTCTCTCTCTCTCTCTCTTTATGTGTGTGTGTGTGTGTGTGTGTGTGTAAACGATAAATATGATACGTAAAATCATAATAGGTGTAGCTATATTAATTATAATTTATTTTTCATGTTGATCAAACCACAAGACTGGTTTACCTGTAAACTCTGAAGGCTCTCGTACAGCTGATCTATATTTGACGCACCGAGGAGAAGGCACTGAACACTTTCATTCTTGAGGGACCATGCAATGGCCAACTGTCCAAAGGAACATCCGAGCCTTTCGGCAAGAGCACATACATCCCGTAATTTATCCGAATATTTTCGTGTTTCCTCGTCCGCCGATTTGTCCTTCCAAGCATATTCCTACGATAGTGAAAATAGATATACATATGTATATGTATATATATATATATATATGTACATAAACATTTGTATATTTTTATTTATACGATCATTCCATGAACATCTAAACTCGATCCTACATAATATAAGATCGAGACATTTAACGATTAAACGCACCTCCTTATACAAAGACTGCGTTTCATCTTCCGTCCAACTGAAGGAAGAATACTTATTCTGAAAGTAAATTCACATTCTCTGAATCGATCGAAGTAGAATAAGAAGAATAATAAAAAAGAGGAAATAGAAGGAGAAGGAGTAAAAGGACTAGAAGGAGACTAAAGGACTATTTTAAGGAGTTAGTTACTAACGGTCGATATAAAGAGCTCGAGTTTACCTTGTAAGAGGATCTCGAAAGGAAGGACACTCCGCAATCTTCCGGCTTGGATGAAACCATTCCGATGGTGACCGTGGACCATGCCATTAAACCGACACCTTAAAAGAGATAAAAGAAGAAAGAAAAAAAAAAAGAAAAAAGATATATATATACATATATACCTACATAGATAAGTCTTGTCTCTCTTAGATTAAGGATCTACGATAAGAAGAATGTTTACATATATACATACATACACATATGTATGTATGTATGTATGTATTTTTGATAGATAAAAAAATTTTCCTTTACCGATTTTATTGTACAACTCCGGCATATATAGTTCAGGTTTCTCTCTGTAGAAAAGATGATACTCGGCTTGTTCGACGATCGGTGTAACGCAATTGAACTGTCGACAATTCGTATAGGCCTCCATGATCTCAACAGGAGACCATCGTGACGTACCCCAGTACATTACCCAACCTTTGCTTATCACGTAATTCATGGCGCGTACTATCTCTGAAAAGAGATCGAATAAACAGATATGAGAGATATTGATGTATCTCAATTACAATCGTCGTCGTCATCATTGTCGTCGTTTATGAGTTTCTCTTTGATAAATATAACGGGAATGAGACAAAATGTTATCCTAATATGTCAATTGGAAAATTTTTTATTTCTCTCTTTCTCTTTTTCTCATATCTCATATCTCATATATATATATATATATATATATATATATATATATATGTCTTTATTTTTTTTATATCTCTCGAAATAACAAAGGAATTTTGAAAATCCTTAACGAGTAATTTCGTAAAGAGAATCAAGGAGAAGAGTGGTTAAACAACATGTGCCGGCAGAAATTCTCACTGACAGACTATTTATATCTTTACCTCGTATTCGTATTTATATCTCACATTTACAGCGCATTCGAGCGTAATTTTACGATCGTCTATATAGAGAGAGACTTCATCTCTTCACTTTCTCTCTCTCTCTCTCTCTCTCTCTCTCTCTCATTCTCACTCTCACTCACTCTCACTCTCTTTCAAGAGAGCATTCTGCGAATTTACGAGTTCTTAATACGGTATAGGCATATATATATATATATATATATATATATATATATATGCGTACAAACACGCACACACACACACACACATAAGTATGTATTTTTTTTTTAATTTGTACGTGTCCCATTACAAAAAGTAATAGCATAAAGTAATTGCAAAAAGTTCTTCGATAAAAATCTAAATCCTTTATACATACGTACATGGGTAATCGAATATTATTATAGAGTTAAGTCAATTTCTAGGAAATACAGAGAAAGAGAGTGTGTGTGTGTGTGAGAGAGGGAGAGAGAGAGAGAGAAAGAGTGAAAGAGGAGAAGAGAAAGAGAAAACGAGTCCAGGTGGAATCGATAGTGCATAGAACGTTTGTCTTGAAGCTTACCTTCCATTGGGCACATTGGATCGACTTTGTGAATCATGACGATATCGATGTAGGACAGCTGCAGTCTGACCAAGGACGCTTGCACAGATTCGATAATATGCTTACGCGACAATCCTCGTCCCTCTGTCCTGTCGAAAATTATTTATTCTTTATCATAACGATTTTTTCATTCATGATCGAAAATTATGTTATAAACATTACATGTTTATAAGATGCACATTGTTGAACATAAAAATACCTTTTACGATCAAATTAAAAGATAGAGAGAGAGAGAGAGAGAGAGAGAGAGGGAGAGAGAAAGAAAAAGATATCTATGTGATCGTAATTTTTTTCTTTTGTTTTTTTCGTTTATAAAAATCCCAACATGAAATTTTATAAAATTCCTATTATTTAAAACTTAAATAAACACAGATAGAGAAATAACGTGAGGAGAAAAGAGGAAAAGTTAAATAAAAGTAAAAATATATATATGTTCTATGTGTGAAAGGAAGAGAGAGAGAGAGAGAGAGAGAAAGTGTGAGAGAAAGAGAAAGAGAAACGTAAAGTTTCTACACATCGATCGCATTTGTCGCCGCCGCGACCTCCTTTTGTCGTGTTCTTTTCTCTCATATATACATACATATTTCGTACCTTTTGTCGAGAGAGAGAGATGGAGAGAGAGAGAAAGAAAGAGAAAGAAAGAGAGAGAGAGTATATGTGTTCATATATTGAAGCGAACCCTTGGCGAGGTCGACGTGAAATGTTTTAAACTGGACAGTCCGCGGGACAACAATAAGCTTCACAAAGCTTTTCAAAGTATACGTGGGAGAAAGAGAAAAAGAGAGAGAAATAGATAAACAACAGAGAAAGAGAAAGACAGACGGGGATAGATAAGACGCATATAGAAAGAAAGAGAAATGAGAGACACTCGTAACATTTATAGTCTATTTTTCTCTCTCTCTTTCTCTCTTTTTCTATCTATTTCTCTTTTTATTCACATTCGAAGAACAAAATGCAAGAATTGTCGATGATTTAACGCGTCATATTCTGCTATTCGATTTGACATACATACGTGTGCGGTTAACGCGTGCGACCTGACATTCGGTCGTACTACTTTCCACTCTAAGCTGTACGATCGAACGCGTTTACACCACTGGAATGCATTCTCCTATGTATCGAGGAGAACGAGGAGAACATATTTATGTATATATGTATGTATATATCTGTGTATCTATGTATATACATTTGGACTATCCTGTTATGTTAGGCGAGAATGATTGTTATATACATATCTTATGACCTACGTGATCACTTGAACGATACTTTGCTTTGATATAATAAATTATTCTAATTATCGTAAACGTTAATTCTTATAATTATAAATTCTTGTAAGAATTAACGTTTACTCTTAATAATTAAACGTTAATTCTTAATAATTGTATAGACAAATAATTTATATCGTTGTTATTTTCTATATCGATCGAATTCTTAATTCATGAATATATGAATTTGAGAAATTCAAGCGCATTTAATCATTTTTGTTTTTTTTTCTTTTTCCTTTTTTAAAAAAAATCAGAAAGTGATAAAGTTGATAAATAACATAACAATGTTAATAATATGTAATGTCGTATTCCATGTTAATTCATTCGTTTGATTTTTTAATTTTATTTCATTTTTCATCTTTCTCTTATATCCGTTTTGTTCTTCTTTCTTCTTACGTCAAAGATTTCACGAAACGCTCGACCATATGAGAAACGACTTTCATCTAGGACATGAACGAATATTGTGCCAAAGAGTATTATGTAGAAAAACAAGATAGGACGATTTTGCGGAGAATTAATAAAATATTTTTATTAAATTCTTTCTCCTTTTTTCTTTTCTTTATAAGACATTTTTAGTTATTCAATGATATACATAATTTCTTCTTTTTTTTTTTCGAATTCTCAACATTTATATGAATATTATCGATTCCTATAAGATGTGTGAAAAACTTAAGAAAACTTTTAGAAAAAAATAGAATAAAATATATAAGAAATTTCGAAAGTGTTTTAAATATTGTAATCGCAGAACCGTAATATGGGGAGAGTTCTTTCTCCTGAATAAAGCTTTCCACTTACGACAGGATCAAAACGAATTTTCAACACTGTCCCGACGAAAAGCGTGCCCTAATTAAAATCGACACCTTCATAGTACTCTTCGCGTTCTCGCATACACATAGACATTGTTCTTTCTCTCTTTCTCTTTCTCTCTCTCTCTCTTTCTCTCTCTCTCTCGTTTTTTCTCTTACCGTACGTTTCCAAAGTCAATTACGAAGTAACTTTTAAGCGAGCGTGCAACAGCTTTCGTAGGGTATCCCTTTCTCTCAATTTAATTACTGTATCGTTTAAAAGTCTACGTTCGAGATAACGAGGAAGTTTTCAAACATTGAGCTCAAAAGCTCGACTGATTTTTGCTTTCCAATAAAATCCACAAAAAATTAAAGACACACATACGCACACACATATATATATACATATATATATATATATATAGAGAGAGAGAGAGAGAGAGTGTACCGAGGAGTGATACAATTGAGCAGAAGGTTTGGTGATACTTTGTGAAAAAAAAAAATTAAGTAGAATGTAATTTTTGAGAAATCGTCACTTCGTTTTCTAGACAAAAAAAAATTTTTTTTTAACCTATTCGATACTTTAATTTATTGTAAGGTTCGACTTGACAGAATTGATTCGTTGTTCGCAAACACATGCAAAGTTAATTATTGTCTATTTCCTCTGATTGCTACTATCGTACTGTTGTGTATTAATTTGTTTTATTACGTATTTCTTTCGAATAATTTCATAATTTCGAATAATCATTCAAGAATGATTATGTATTAGTTTTTTTACAAAAATTAATTTTTATTAGCGTAGAAATTGTTAAAAATTTCAATTATCCTATATTTATTTCATAGAAAATCGTGTTCTTTTAATTAAATTATTATGCGTTTTTTTTTAATGTATTGTGATAATTTTTTTATTTTTTCAAATGCCAAAAATATGTTTTAAAAATAGTTTTTCTTGAAAATGAAGTTTCGATTTATTTTTTGTACTCTTTGCTTCGTTGTATCACTCTTGTTGAAATATTTTGTATATATGTGTGTATATATATATATATATATTATATACATTATGTATATATATATACAAATTATATACATTATATATATATACATAATATTATATATATATATATACATATATATATAAAAGAAAGAAAAAAACATACAAACATACAAACGTGCATAAATAATGTTAGAAAATTTGCCTTACTTCGTGTTCCAATATATTTTCGTCGTAACGACGTAGCTCGAACGATTCCAAGCACGGCGCAATAAAATCCGACCGAATTGTATTTCCGCACGATGGCCGCTGTGGGCTTCGCTCAAGTCGAACACATTGATGCCGCTGTCGTATGCGAGAGCAACGACAGCTTCGGCGGTTTCCTCGTTGCCGCATCCCCCTACACCAAAGGTTGTCCAAGTACCTGGTATACAATGAATATGTTAATAATAAAATAGAAATAAAAGAAACAGTATCAAGAATTAACAGGGAACATCGGATGGTACAATATTGTTTTTATTCGGACTATGTATATAAAATTTTTATGTGAATTTTTATTTTTATTTGATTGTGAATTTTTCTTCTTTTTCTTCTTTTTTTCTTTTTTTTTTTTTTTAATGTATCAAATGGAATAACGCGATTGAGTATTTAGTTAGTCCTTTCACGTTTTCATTGAATTTCCATTAGAATTTCGAACGACCATTTTTTATGCTTTTAGAAAAAACATCTCGTGACAATGTATTTGTCTAATCCTATTAGAATTCTACCGATGATGATAGTAACAGTGTCAAATTGTTATCGTTCGATA